TTTTGACAGTCAACAAACAGTCAAATTGACAAAGGACTAAATTGGGTAAAAATTATATAGTTGAGGACTTAATTGGGTAAGAATGATAGTCGAGGACCAAATTGGTAATTACGACATAGTCGAGGGACTATTTTGGGTATTAACTCTTTTAACTATTTATAGTTGAGAAGGAAAAATCTACAAAAGTCTTAAAAATAAAAAGTCTACAAAAGTTCATAACTTTTTGAATACAACATGACTTTTAAAGACTCTTTAAAAATCGTAATCGAATACCATACGAATTTTAAAGACTCTTTAAAAATCTTGATTGAATACCGGCTGGCTTTTAAAGACTCTCTAAAAGTTTGAATTGAATACCTCCAAACTTTTGTAGATTGAATACACCACCTAAGACCTTTCTTATAGAAATTAATGAGTAAGTTAAAAATAATAAATAGTTAACAGAATATTCCGTTACTAAAGTTTATACTAACGGAGTTTAGGTTATTTAAGGGAAGAAAATAATATAATAGAGGGTAAATAAGAAAAATTATTAAAAAAATATATAAAATTACAATAATATGAACCATTCATTTTAAAAAATAATACTACCTACATTTTTTTTTGTTCCGGGGCTTAATATTATTAACTCTTATAGAATTGTAGAAGAAAAAAAAAAAAAAAAAAAAAAACTTATCAGTGTAAAACAACCCCATTATTGCTGACCTCTGAGTTTTGTCTAACATTTTCCATCTCTGTCCCGAGAGAATCAAGAAAATCTCCTTCAAGTCCCTAAACTTTCTCCTCGAATTTCTCTCTACTTTCCACCATTTTCCCTAGAAAATCTTCCCCGGATCTCTTCGTCCCCATCGCAACACCATAATCAAACCTAGTCATCCGAATTCCTTGCTTCAAAGGTCAGTTCTTCCTATTTTTTCTTGATTTCTGTATCCATACCCATGCAAGTACAGAACATATAGTTGCTTATTACCTGTTAATACTATCTCATGGAGGTCAAGATTCTGAATTTATGTGTTATATAAAGAATTGGAATTTTGGGTTTTGTTGAAATTGAGGTGTTTATGTGAAATTTGGGCTTTTAATCAAGTGGAGAAGTTGCTGATTTAGTGGTTGGACATTTGGGGGTTGGGCGGTGGGTATAGTTGATGATGCCGCAGCCAAGAAGAAAGAAATGGACTGAGGCCGAGGAGAAAACGCTGATTGACAAGTATGGTGAGATGGTCTGTGATGGGACTTTAGCTAAAATGAAAACTAGGGAGAAGAAGTATAAACCCATTGCCTTACATGTGAACAATGTGCACAATTTGAGTGATCCCATTGCATTTCCATGGCAGTGGACTTGGAAGGATGTGTCGACTAAAGTGCAGAACATGAGGCACCAGTATTCGCTCGTAAAGCAGAAGATTAAGAAAGAAGGGGATGGTGGTGTGGAGGAGTTTGATTGGGTGGAGGGGCTCACGCATTGGTCAAATTTCCTTAGGTACAAGGAGGTGTTTGGGGATGTGGTGCTTGTGTATAACGGCGGTGAATCGATGGCGGTTGTGGGGGATAGGAATGAGAATAGTGGGGGGTTTGATGGGAGTGGTCACGGGATAGAGCTCGTGCAATTTGGGCATTTGAGTCATTCCGGGGATGGTGATTTTGGAGGAGGGGGTATTGATGGGGTTGAGAATGGGGCTATGGGATTAGGGTTTGATTACGATGGAGAAGAAGGCGAGGAGAACTATAATGGTAGTAATAAGAGTAACAACCCTTTGAAAGAGGATGGGGAGGATGGTTTTGTTTATGAAGATATCGAGCCAACGGGGTTCGATATCCGGAAGAAAAGGAAGGTATTGAAGGGGCTAGAGAAGAAGGCATGGGGTTTTCTTGCCAGCCAGTTATCTCAGTTAAGGGATATGGAGACTCGATTTGAGCAGCGTGAGGTTGAGAGAGAGCGGGAGAGGCAGAGAAGAGAGCATCTTCGTATGGAAATGGAGCAAGAACGTGAACGGAAATGGGAAGAAAAGGAACGAGAGAGGCAGGAGAGGGAGAGAGCGATCGAGAAGCTGCGGAGACAGAGGCTTCAAGAATGGGAAGCGATGGAGAAAGAGAGCGAGGAACGAGAAAGACGAAGAAGAGAGGAAGAGTTGATATTCGAGAGAGAACGGGAGGAAAGAACGAATAGGAGGAGATCGGACTCGAAGAAGAGGATCGACGAAATGATAAATCACCACAGAGCAGAAATGACCCAGATTCAGACCAGGATTCTTCATGAACAGCAGAATCTTACTAGTCAGCTGCTCGGTATTCTTTCCCAATGGACCGGGCATCCAACTACGCTTTCTGATCATACTGGAGCTAGCAGTCACTATCTTTCACAAATGATGCAGAATTTGCACCACGTTAACACTATGGTGCACGGTGATGCAAGGGTCGAGGGAGACAATCAAGAAGATCACTTCATCGTCGATGGATGAAAAGCAAAGGTCATTTATTTCTCACAAGATTCTTGTCACTATGTATTACGTGAAAATCTATTTAATGTACTTACCTGCTCTTTTCTGTAAGTCCTTCCTGCTTTTTATTGAGTACTCACAGTACATAGGGATTCAATCTGCGAAATGAAATTGGCAATGTTTATCAACATAATGTCATATTCCTTGTTTATAGATTTTTTTTTTTTTTTTTTTTTTTTTTTTATATATCTTCTATGCTCTTCCTCCATTGCCATTGTTTATAGAAAGTATACCTTAAGTACTAAGTAAATTATGAGCAATTAAGACCATCTTGATTAAGGAATTGGATTATGCAGACACAAATCAAATATTGATTGTCTAAACTGACCTATACATTTTGAGAGATTTATTTATTTTTGCTTTATGAGGAGTAGATACTTTGTGTATTATGCAGTGTATCTTTAACATTGCCAACTATTTAATTAATTTTCTAATCCATTCAACAGCAATTTCAATTCTGATATGGGTGGCTCGGGTAAGTTCCTTTTTATCCCAATTGAAGCATGTGCTCCATCTCAACTAAAAGTTTAAGGTGATAGTTGGACTACACATTTATGTTTATATATTATGTGGGCCGTCCTCTTGCATGGGGTTGGCTCTAATACTAAATGAAAGGATGTGCTCTGTGTCTCCGTCTCTAAACTGATAGTTGGACTGCACATTTATGTTTGTTTATATATTATTACTCCGTATATGCTCAACAATCCCTTGGAAAACCTTTTCATCATGATTTGCTAGCTAAGTCAAATCAATTGGCATTATCTTGATTCACCTTGTTGAATGTGATTTATTTATTTTTTATTTTTTCTTGTAAAATACTCCGATGATTATGTCATGTAATGTGTGTAGTCTTATTATTACTTCATGTCCTCATAACTATTTCTTTGTAATGATGATGCCATGTTTTAGCTGCAGTTAGTTTGATTGATGTGTTCATGACTTAACCGTCCTTAAATCCACCGCTTGGTGTGTTGGTGTTTTAGATACTAGTTCAAATGCGGACAGTGCTTCACATGCGGCCGGTGCGGATTCACCATCAAGTATGCATAAATGCACCACACAGTGTTCGGAAATGCGCCTCAATGAAATGTACCAATGCAACACAAAATGCACCACACACACACAAAAATGCACCACACCTAATGGTGCATTTCCGAACACTTTGTGGTGCATTTATGCATACCTAATGGTGAGTGATGCTGCACGGGAAGCACTGTCCGCACCTGACCTTGGTGTTCTATTTTGGATATGTTTTATGTTTGGGCAGCTATAATAACTTAAAACCTTCTACTAAGGCTGAAAATAGATCCATTTTCAAAATTATAAAATGTTGTTAAGATTAACACATAAATCTGGTAAGCAGATGATGTAAAATGCCCCAAAACAAAGACACGCTAAAAGCCTAGAAAAGAACAACTGTGTATCTTGAATTTATGCTTTCTTTGAATTTGATTGTACTAATGTGTATGTTTGGAGTGAGCCATAGAACGGTAACTAAAGCTTAGAGTTCATTTCTTTTTACCTATTTACCTTGTATAGTGATTTTCTATAACCTGAAAACGAGTTTGCTTTCTGGGTTTCTTTGACTGATTCTGCAGAATTTCATATAGCCTTGGCAGTTTACGGAACGCTATGCACCGATGACGAGAGATTCAAAATGAGTGAAAGCAGAAAGGAGATGTGTTTGTTAATTTGAAGTAAATTAATGATTTTGTAATATGTTTTTCATTCTTTTGAATTGCTAATGCTTTGGTATTTGATGCTCCAAAGATGAGAGAGACTTGCTAATATTTGCAACTGATCTTTTTTCACAAGGAAATATTATGTGCCCTCGTATACATATACTTGTAATCTCCAAACTTCCATTTGTTACTTGTACAGGAAATGGATCCAGCTTATTTGATCTGTGAAATGACCCTCCATGTACATATACTTTTTTTTAATAAGAATTCTTTTAGTTGGTTACAGTTTCGAAAATCATTTCAATGCTAGAATTAAGAAATTATTTTGCTCGAAAGGATTAAAGGAATAAGCTTACGAAAGAAATATTAGAAACTTTAGAGCTCACACAATATAATAAATATATTTTAAAATTATACAAAGTAGCTAGGGTCCCTTGACTATTGCAATTTACACGTAAAAGTTCATGTTTAATTTTTTATCGATTTAGTCCCTAAACAATTAAAATTTTATCTAAAGTAGTCATCTGTTACATTTTACGTTAACTCTCTATCCAAATTAGGGGTATACTCGTCCTTTCAACTTTCAAGTCCAACATAGTATTTGAAATAAGGGCACTAGGAATGTGGCGAACATTGCCGGCGCTCCTCTGGCAGCGCCACCAGTGAGGAGTCAGAGGTGGAGGGCATCTGACGTCGACAAAGGGTCGTGTTATTCCCAATTCTATTCCACGGGTAATGACTCTACCGATGATGGTTGCAGCTTTACCTATGCATCGGAGTTTGAGATAGCGGAGATTGTGGACTCCTGGCAAGTCGTCAGCGATGGAGTCCGATTGCTCGGTGGATTTGGAGAAAGGGGTTGGTGAAACCAAGGTGCATTTGGAGAAAATTGAAAGAGATTATAGGATTTGTCTTTTCAACTTCAAGAGCTCCAATTCTGAAACTGAGGTTTCAATTCAACTAGGATGTTCTTGCAAAGGTGATCTACCTTTTACTCGCAATGAAGGATTCAACCTTTACTAAGTGATGTATAATAGATCCAAGACTTATTAATGAGTTAGGATTTATTAAACTAGTACTAATATAACTGCATGCCATAGTTATAATATTTCTCTAGTTGAATTACACACATACTTATAATACATGTTCTGCCACCCTTGACCTTAATATTGTGGTTAAGTCAAATTCACATGACTATGTTAATGTTGAAATGGTGAAATTCATGTATAACACATTATATTGTGGTTATGACCAACGATTGAAGACGAGGGGGGCAGTGCTAGTTTTTTCCATGTCGCTGATCTGCACTAATCTGTTGCATAAGTATTTCTTCGACTCTATCCATAAAGCCGGAGATAGACTGTCGTGACTGTGTATCCAACGAGTTCGCCATGTCCTGAAACAAGAGCATACAAGTTTATATGAGCAACATTGATACTTTTAATTTTTCTTGAAATGATTATTACAGTGTATCCAACAAGTACTGCACGTCGACATGTTGCAAGATATTCTCAATACCAGTGAAGTTGTTCACATAACATAGCAACAAAAATCTAATTCCACAAATCTAAAGGAAAAGCTTTCTCTATTATGCCAGCATATTGTAGAAATTGAAAGGGAGCAGCTCCAGTTACCATATAGTTTAGATGGTATTTTTCTCTTTTTATTTTCCACACAACCTCGATTTTCTAATATTGCTCAAATTAGCCAAGCAACTGTAAAATGCCAACTAAGTTCGATTAGATGCCAAAGGTACATACATAGCATAGAAGACAGCAAAGAATAACACCGACCATAAAGTTAACCGCTGCAACTTAAAAGGGGAAAAAGAAATGATATACAGCGTAATTCTTTTGGAAGGTAGCTATAAAATTTGAGAGTGAAGTCACCTATTAAATACAAGATCCATGTGCATTTTTGTGCCTAAAACTACTAAACCAGTGCAATCATAATGAAAACCAGAACTATAGTCTATATAAGGAAACAACTCACCACAACTTTGCAGAGAAGGCTCAAGGAGATTTCTTTTGAGTACTGGCTTGAGCTCTTTAGTGATATAAGGTTTAATGCAGCTATGTATATTGGCCATCCTTGAGGAACCTTTATGAAAGCATCTATTCCGCCAACCAAGTGAGCTACAATTATCTCGTCTCTGTCCAAGTATTCAAATGAGTGCCTGCATTTACAAAGAACAAAGACATAGAGATTACTTAAGTACAAGGAGCACTAACACATATCCTTCAAAGACAACAAGTTGTCAAGTATTCAAAACTCAAAAGTAGTCAATACGATTTATCTAGGTATCGATATTGATCCAACATAAAGAAGAGGAAAAGTATTATTAGGCTTATTCCAGTTTAATATGCCTAAGAGCTATTAAATTGGAATACGAAGTTGCTGTCTTCGTAACTCCTAGTTCTGTGAACTTGTAATCTCATTCCTTCTTCATAAAGATTAATGCTCTGTACAACCAAAACTGAAGTTGATGTCTTTATCTAAAGGCAACAGCCCACACCAAAAACTAACCAAGATTGTCATCTTTCTAATAATTTTTTTCAAGTGTCTATAAACATTACAACTATGTCATTTGCAATGCATTAATTCATTCTAGAAACCAGTCCACAATCACCATTCAATTATAGGTTGCTGCTGCCTATACAAGGACATTGTTGTCCCATATTGTTCAACAGTAAATGTTCCTGCAAGTAGCAGGCCCACCCTTATTTTTAGAATAAAGGTTCTCTTGCAAAGTAAGACCTACTCTGGTGCATGCTAAACTTAGATCTCTGCCACGGTCCCCATACACCTCAAAACTGTAAAATGCCCATGCGTATCAAGGATCTATACAACTATGGAAAAAGACTATTAACATTGACCAACAAAATTGAGTATCAAGAAATGAGTGACCTTGACTTGTTGGCGCTTTTCACCAGAATCTGCCTTAATTTGCATACAACAATTCGATCTTGTACTCTTCTAACAAACCATTCCAGATAAGCTCTGATCTCATGCACTGGCATTGGTGAATAAAGCTGCCTGGAAGAACAGTTACTACTATCACAAGGGTAAAAGTAGTAATCATGGATAATGAACTAGATAGCACAAGTAGCAAACAAGGAGAATGCATGAGTTGCATGCTGTATGTTCCAACTGCAGTCCTATGTTGCACAAACACATACATATGTCCTAGACTTCTTAATTCCAGTCATTCAAACCAATAAGAATGGACCTACTTTCAGAAAACAGAACTTCAAAATAACCAAAGTGCTTCCTTAGACCAAAATGATAACAACAACAACAACAACAATAATAATAATAATAAAATGGTATTCTTAATGGCAGTGTTGCAAAAATTCTGCCTAGGCACCGATTAATCGGCGCCTAGGCAATAGGCGCTGGCCGACCGCCTAGCGTATCACCATAATCGGTGGTCTAGGCTGCCGACTAGGCCGCCTAAGCGCCACCTAGGCCTCCTAGGCACCGACTATGTCGCCTAGTCGACCGATTAGCTATTGTTCCCTTCTTTTTTAAATGGGTTATTTCACACAAAACGACATTGGTTTGAGCGAAATAACCCTAAATTGTTCAAACTCTAGATGTTTTTTAGGTTAATATTTAATATTTTAGTATTAACGATTAAAGTATTAAATATTTTATAATTATCAAGTCTTAAAAAATTTAAACAAATTTTTAAAAAATAAAAAATACACGGGCGCCCTAGGCGCTAGGCGCCCCCTGAGCGCCTAGTGAATTTTTCAACCATGCTTAATGGTATAATGAGCTCCTGCATTCTCTTATTTTGGTCTGACTCTATCCCTCTTAGTTTTTGAACTGTCTTTTTGACCTATTTTACATTCACCTGTAAAATAATATTTCATCTGCACACATCTCACAAGCATATATTTCAGCAGCAATGCTCATCAAAACATTATAAACAGCATGTTTACCGACTCCAGATAAACAGTGGTTCAAGAACAGTCTGACTGAAAATTTGATAAGTAAAAAAGGAGTCTAATCTAAACTTAACATAAAAAACGCATAACAAAAACATCAGAAGAATTATTCCAGCTCCTAATCTGCCCCATCTTTATCTCAAAAGTTTCAAATTGGAGCTTGAGCTTCAGTGTCAAGTTTCCCATTATTTTGGTAAAAATACTGAGAACCTCATTAGTATTTTTCTCCAAATTAGTATCTCATAAAATAAAATATGCCAACCATACACTGTTTGATTTCAATACAATCAAACCAGAATCATGTGCAACTTGTTCATTCAAACTGTACAGGAACTGACAGGGTCTTGTCAGCAAATACCAAAAGCTATAAACAGCAACTACATATACAAACAATAAATTGTATACTACACAATTTTTTTTTTAATGGAATATGGTGGAATGATAATTGAAAGGGAGACAGACCTGAGGGATTTTGCAGCATCAATAATTTCACTTATGTACACATCATTGGGGAATATCTGAGCAGATTGCAAACAATGAGAATGAAGTTACATGTTATAATTGAGAATAAAAAATTCCACTTACAAATAATTTTTAGAAAAATGAGAATAAGAATCTAAACCAGTGCACCGGACAAAGGAAACTGCAATTATGTTAGCAATTCAAGAACATTAGTCCAGGCATTCATCACAAATTCACAATTAGAGAAACCTGGTGCAGCTGTACTCTTATGTGCATTTAGAACAACAAATATATATATATATATATATATATATATAAGGAAACTATGGTGCATTTAAGCACACTCAACTCATAGTTTAGATTCCCATTACTTTTCAGCTCATTTATATCCTTTTAATTGTTAATTCTATCCATTTAAGTGCAGGAGATAAAGAGGATTGAGAAGAAGTGAAGAACTGTCCTTTGGCCTTCAAGTGAAGGAAGTTGTTACAGAGGTACTTAGTGAGGTTTGGGGAAGAAAAAAGTTCCAACTACGAGAACAAAAGTTTCAAAACTGTTTCAATCCAGATTCATTTTATCTCAATTTGGGTTAACAGAAAACACAAATTTACCATTGATGTGAGGTTATAAGCATATTGCTATTTTGAGTTTCTTTTCTCAACATGGAGACTATACTTCCTCACATGTAGAGTAGCAAAGGTTTAGTTATCAGGATAATAAAACTATGAAGGCACCATTAGAAAAGCAAACAATTGCTATTAAAAGTGGGCCCCAAGTGCTATTAAGGATGTGCCCCATAAAAATCTTCAATTACAAACCTCCAAATTATTTACATTTTCATTCACTACTTTACTAGCTGAATGACAGTCTTAGCTATACTACATCTTAATATGCCATCAAAAACCAATACACCAGCAATGGATTTCCAGAAGGAAATAAGTGAGCTCTTCTGAGATACCTGTAGTGTATATGACTGCCCATAGTCACTAGTCATTAAAGTAGTTATTTAAATAATTAAATTGGAACTGGTTTCTTCTACAGAGTAGAATTTAAGCAACAGCAACTGAAATTCTTAGATATTAACAATTTTTTAGAACCTTTTCCCAGCATTATGTTGTTATTGATAATGGGGAAGTTAACCCTCTTTCTGGGCTCTCTGCATGAATCCAGGTTTCAAGTTCATCCCCAATCAGATGTACCCAAAAAGCATATCAGCCAGGATAAACATCATTCTAGTGTTTATTATATTTCTCCATCATTTGATAAATCCATACCTCAGCACGCTTGAGCTCCATTGTACCATCCATGAATTCTATTAACAATTCATGGTCTTGCTCTAATAACCCAGAAGAATCATCAACTTTTTCCTGGCATGCGAAGCTCTCAGAGTCTGGGATGTATGTTCTTAGAGATAACCTAATGTGATTCCCATCAAATTCAATTACTCTTAGACCACTCAGCACATCCTCAACTTTTTCAATAGCATCAAACCTGAATAGAAGGCAAATTAGAACAAGCAATACCATGCAAAAGCAAGAACATCCAATAAGAGCATTTATATACTGTTAAACAATTACCTCTTGAAAGTACCTTCAAGATCTTGCAATGTCTTCAAAGTTGTTTTGCTCTTCTCAAGCTGATTGCTAAGGTTTAAAATCTTCAAGACAAAATCACAAATTCATTAGGCTGGAGCATTCTTATTACAATGGAGCTGATTCTATCGCTCTTATGTCATGTGCACTCCAACCAATTAAGGTTCTCTCTTGGCATTTTTCTAAAGTTCAAAAAATTTCTTATGGATAACACTTATTCCTGTTCACCTATATTAATAGTAACAAAAAAGCACAATGTGCAACACAAACTCGGATGTCAAGTGAACCTTAAAATTAGATTCTTCAGGTGCACTTATTAAGTTCTCTTGATCTTCAACTCTGGAGCAACATGCTTGGCCATTCCTAAGCTTCATACTCTAAGACAAGAAATTTAGAAAAGAAAATAAGCATTCAATGTGTCAATGTGACAGAAACTATCATTAGATAATAAATATAAAACAAGCAACAGATGGATAATTAAAAAATAATAGAGTTAATCCCAATTTCAGTCCCTTGACAATTACATTTTTGTACCTAATAAAATGTGCCACTTTTGGCATATTTTCAATATTCAAGGATAAAATTTGGATGATTTTAAACTTGAGAACCAAAAGCAGAAAAATGCAATAGTTAAAATACAGAAAGTAGAATTAACTCAAAATAATATGATGGTTAGAAATGCCACCACTTGTCAAAATAGATTTTAGATTTTGATGAAAATCATGAAATACTTCATCTTGTCTAAGGTTTCTGCTGCGGAGGCCCTAATGGAATCCCAAATTACCCAAACAAATGATTAGCAGTCCCTATATCTGAGAAAGGCACTCCAATATTGCATCCAGATCTTACATCTATCAACTGCTAGGAATAGCCTCCTTAATCTGACGCATTGCAAAAGCTCTTCCTTAAAACAATAAAACATTTATGTTCCACAAGAAAATACTTCAGGTACCTAAATGTTTGCATTACATGACTAAGAGACATACTTGTGATAGCGTGAATAAGGGAGTATATGCCCCTATATGGCAATTTTCCTAATTCCTTATAGAGCATATTGGATTAAACAACATTGGACTTTCTTCCTTTTGCCTTTAAATTTGTCACCTCCATGCACTGTAAAATTTGTACAGATTGAAGTTTCTCATACACCCATTTATTTTGGATACATGAAATGTCTTCACTTCCAAAATGGCAGTTAGATATTTAGATATACAGAGACAATTAGCTTATTAGCAAAAAAAAACCTGTGATTCCAAAAGGTCTAGTGAACAACATAAACCTTCTATCTCACTGTCCAATATTCCAGATTCTGCAAGCATGATAAAATCATATCAGAAGTATTAGAAGCTATTGGAGTAAGGAACTCATGATAACATATGCATTATAAAGTTTGAATCATAAACTGTCTGCAGCACCTTCCAAATATCTTCTTGAAAGTTCCTCTATTTCATCAGATATTTTTTCATTTTCACCTTCCACAGAGCTTAGCTCCTTTTTCAAATGTCCGACAAATTCATCTGGAATTACCAAATCACCACATTAATATGAATAAGCACAATTTCCCAGACAGACTTGTATAAGAGGCTGAAAAGGCTACCATTTACCTAAATCTTGATCTGCTAAGAAGTTTAAATCTGATGCATCGGATAACATTTGATTTATTTTGCTCTGTGAAATAAATTCAGGAAAGAAAAGAAACAAAAACAGTTGAAAATGGGAAGACAAAAATATTTATCTACCAATGTACACATATATAGACAATATACTATATAAGAGTTTTGAGCGTGGAACTTATACTATACTGAATAAGTGAATAACAGACCTCAAGCTGAACAGCACAATCATTTAGTAATTTCTCCGAATCTGTAGAGGAAATTTCAGGAGCATCCTCGGACTTTTTTAGAACATTTCTAAGCTCCCCGATTCGACTGTAATGGTTTGAAGATTCAATGTTAACAAAGAAATAATTAAAAATGATTTTCGCATAAGTTCATATATGTGTTGAGAGACAAACCTGCGAAGAGAATCGAGTTCGAGAGGTGGGGAAGAAGTGGTAACAAGGGTTTGGTCGGCCATTGTTCTTCGATTTCTCAAGTTTTTCCCTTATATTCTCGCCATTTTCTTGTAAAATTTTGTTAATTCCTCTCTGCCGGTGGCGACTACAGTAGTGTTGTATATGAGTACGCAGTACATGCTTTTGTTTTTCGAACTCCCGCCATTGATATTTCGTATTGGTAAAGTGAAGAAGACAGCGTGACAGTCTGACAGATCCGAAAGATGTACGGCCCAAGCTTATTCAGTGCGGCCCAAAAGTGTAGTGATTGGGTCAGATTGTGGGCGCAAATTATCAGTTGTTATGCCGTGCAACCGTGTGTACCGTTCTTGGTACACACGGTTGAAAACGGCACCGTAAAGTGCCAGGGAAGTAACGGTGCCGTTAGTGGCACCGTTTCACTTATCCCGATATTTAAAAAAAAAAATATTATTATTATTGCCATAAAACGCCACTACACTCCTTTTTCCGCCATTTCCAACATTTCGTCTCCAACAAGCTACACACTTCCTTCGCACTGTAGCAGTCTTCATCTCTCTCTCTGTCTACTCGGAGTCGCGATTTTCGCCGTCTTCATCTCATTGTCGCCGGAGCGTGTTTTGTTCACCATTGTCGCCATTTTCGCCATTTTCATTCTAGCATTGTCGCCCGTTATCATCGCATTCTCCATCAGGTATAATGTATTTTTGTGATTTTTTACTGTTAACGTTGTGTTTTTTGACTGTTAACATTCATATTCGCTGTATATTCTTGTTATTTTTTACTAGGGTTTTGCAACACGATTTTGCATTTTTCTCAAACAGATCAATACTCTGTTTTTTTTCTGTTTCTTTGATTGTTTTTTGGTGTTTTCTGAAATGTTTTTGGACAAATAGTTGTGATATTGTGGATATATAGCTTTATACTTGTGGTTTTATAGTTTAATACTTATGCATGTCTGAAAATATCATTCCTCTCTTCAATTAGTGTGTTTTCTGAAATGTTTGTGGACAAATAGTTGTGATATTGTGGATATATAGCTTTATACTTGTGGTTTTATAGTTTAATACTTATGCATGTTCGAAAATATCATTCCTGTCTTCAATTAGTGTGTTTCTGAAATGTTTGTGGACAAATAATTGTGATATTGTGGATATATAACTTTATAATTGTGGTTTTATAGTTTAATACTTATGCATGTATGAAAATATCATTCCTGTCTTCAATTAGTGTGTTTTCTGAAATGTTTGTGGACAAATAGTTGTGATATTGTGGATATATAGCTTTATAATTGTGGTTTTATAGTTTAATACTTATGCATGTATGAAAATATCATTCCTGTCTTCAATTAGTGTGTTTTCTGAAATGTTTGTGGACAAATAGTTGTGATATTGTGGATATATAGCTTTATAATTGTGGTTTTATAGTTTAATACTTATGCATGTATGAAAATATCATTCCTGTCTTCAATTAGTGTGTTTTCTGAAATGTTTGTGGACAAATAGTTGTGATATTGTGGATATATATCTTTATAATTGTGGTTTTATAGTTTAATACTTATGCATGTATGAAAATATCATTCCTGTCTTCAATTAGTGTGTTTCTGAAATGTTTGTGGACAAATAGTTGTGATATTATGGATGTATAGTTTAATAATTCTTATTTACAGAAATGGCTCGTGAACCTACACTGGCTGAGGATCTTAGAGAAACAAAAAGAAGAAGAAGAGAGTACCGGACAGCAGCAATTCTAGATTCACAAGCAGCTCAGAGCTCTAATCCAACTAGTGAACAACCAGCAGCAGCCCTAAATTCACAAGCAGCTCAGCGCTCACGCCCTGCTAAGGAAACAACTGTTGCAGAGACTTCAACGAGACGGCGCCGACGAACTAGAGAACACAGGAGAGATTACTTCAATACGAGGATGGGGCCAAAGCTGATGTTTGATCTTGTCCAGAGGCTCTCACCACGACAGAAACAAGCTGTCGTAGAAACTGGATTTGGTGGACTTCTTCATCTCCAACTCTGCACCAATGAATCAAAGTTGGTGCAATACCTGCTGGACAACTTTAATGTTTGCAGGTGTGATTTTGTATTAGAGGATGATAGTCTCCACATTGAAGAGGAAGATGTCGAATACACGTTGGGAATCCCGCGAGGGCCTCTGAAGGTCAATGAGGGGACAAAGATGGAAGACACCTCAACCCGTGAATACAAACTGCTGCTGACTTCATGGAGAAGGAGGTGGGGTATTACAGCAGGCTCGCCAATAACTACACAGATGCCAGATGAGATTGTTAGGAGAGCTGATCATGGTGATGAGTTCAAGAGGGATTTCGTAGTCTTTGCCGTTTCCTCCATGCTTCGAGGAAACACAACACGCTACTCCAAGTACAGGATCTTAAACTCATTGATTGATGTTGATATGATTAAAGAGTACAATTGGTGCGCCTACACATACCAATCTCTCATTGACTCGATAGATAGTTACAACGAAGATAGAAAGAGAAGCTTTTGGGGGCCAATGACATTGATATTGGTCAGTTCTTATTGTCTTTAATCTAGTTGCATGAATTTTATGTAGTTGTAGGTGTATAACTAACAATTTATTATGGATATATATGCATGAAACTTGGAATATACTCAGTTTAATAAGATCCTTTATGTAGTTTAATTTGTGGATATATAGTTTTAAAATTGTGGATATATAGTTATGTGATTATGGATATATAGTACTCTGTGAATATATGAATGTATTACTCTGTGGACATACTGTTAATAATTCTGGATATATACTAATGTGTTTTTGGATGTATAGTTATGGGTTTATGGATATATATGCATGACACTTGGAATACACTCAGTTTAATGAGGTCCTTTATGCAGTTTAATTTGTGGATATATAGTTTTAAAATTGTGGATATATAGTTATGTGATTATGGATATATAGTACTCTGTGAATATATGAATGTATTACTCTGTGGACATACTGTTAATAATTCTGGATATATACTAATGTGTTTTTGGATGTATAGTTATGGGTTTATGGATATATATGCATGACACTTGGAATACACTCAGTTTAATAAGATCCTTTATAAAGTTCTGAATTTGTGGATATATAGTCTTAAAATTGTGGATATATAGTTATGTGATTATGGATATGTAGTACTCTGATAATATATGAATGTATTACTCTGTGGACAGACTGTTAAGAATTCTGGATATATGGTAATGTAGTTTTTGGATGTATAGTTATTAATTTGTGGATTTATATGCTTGAAGCTTGGAATATACTCGGCTTATTAGGATCTTTATAAATTTCTGAATTTTGTGGATATATAGTTTTAAGATTGTGGATATATAGTTTTATAATTATGTATATATAGTACTCTGTCAAATATGAATGTATACCCATGCAGTTAACAGTACCTGGGTATGTAGTTGTTTCAAATAATAACCTTTTGTTTTGGAATTAGATATTTTTCCCAGTGCATCGCCATGCACACTACTTTGTTGTGTGCATAAATGTCAAGGAATCCAAGGTTCAGGTGATAGACAACAAGGAATTGCCTGCTGGTGTTTCAGAGCTTGATAAATATGGGGACTGTCCATACAAACTGGTAGCTTATATTATATTAAAAAATCTCCTTATTGTCACCTATATATTGAATTTAAAACATTATGAACATTGAACTAATTTTTTACCAGATTGAAGCATTCAAGGCGTACCTGGCAGCAGGACAATCCACCTTGACTCACAAACTGAACAGCATGCCAGTAGAGTTCCTTGCCATGCACTGGAAAAATGCAGAGAATGTCACCGACTGTGGCATATATGTAATGCGGCATATGGAGACTTACATGGGTGGAGCTTTCGAGAACTGGAATCCTGGGTTCAAGAAACATATGCGCACGAATGTAAGAGTAACATAAATATATTACATTCCAACTACATCAGAAAGTGATGAAAAAATTACAATGAACTAGTTATTTATTTTTCTTATTTTACAGGCTAGCTTCATTTTTGAGTTGAGGGCAAAGTATGCTGCTTGTATCATCACGTCAAAGCTGAACAGCGTCAAAGGCGAGGTCATGAAAGCTGCAAAGATTGAAGACAAGAAGAAGTAAAACTGGAAAGATCAATGAATGTTTTTGTGGATGAATATTTTAATATTTTCTGTTCTTTGGTCGTTTTGTAACAACTCTATCACAATTTTTGAAATTCGATCTATGAAATTCACTGAATATATAGTTCTCATATTATGGACATGTAGGTTTAAGATTGTGGATGTATGGATATAAAATTATGAACATCTTACATAAGTATAAACATACTGTTCAAATATTCATATATTCATATTTCAAGAATTATGGACATATAGGTTTAAGATTGTGGACATATTGATATAAAGTTATGAATATTCGTTCAACTGTGAACTTACATTTTACATAAGTGTAAACATCAAGTTCACCAGTTTACATATTGATATATAGCTTTAATATTGTGGATATAATGATATAACATTATGAACACTTTTACTAATTTGACACACAATTCCAATATTTTGTGGTCATATAGTTCTCAGAATTATGGACATATAGGTTTAAGATTGTGGACATATTGATATAAAGTTATGAATATTCGTTCAACTGTGAACTTACATTTTACATAAGTGTAAACATCAAGTTCACCAGTTTACATATTGATATATAGCTTTAATATTGTGGATATAATGATATAACATTATATCCACAATTCCAATATTTTGTGGTCATATAGTTCTCAGAATATGTATGTATAGCTCTAATATTATGGATATATAGCTTTAGTATTATGGATATGTAGCTTTAATATTATGGATATATAGCTTCAAACCTGCAAATCAACAAGTACTAAAATTTTGAATACACAGATCAAACAACTTGTAAATTGATATCCTCAAAACAGCTAGCTACCAACTGGTATTAACCCCACTCTCAATCTACAACTGCATTATCATCTACATCATTACTATACTGACAAAACTCCGAACTCCCAGAACTTGGATGTACAAGGTACCCATCCCCGGCAATCTCAGATAGACTTTCCAAAACCAACGACTGAACAGCACCCTTTGTACTCGAAGCAACTTTATTTGCAGCACTCCTCCTCCCCCTTGCAGCACTGTACTTCTTTTCAATAACACTACTCCTCCTTACGTTACGCTCACCTTTTGATCTCCGGTTTGAAGGATTTTGAATGACACCACTTGAAGATGAAACACCGCACTCTTCAATATGCACATAGCCAATCTCAGCTTCAACCTTTTTCTTTGCTTCCTCAACTGCTTCATCACAGAACTGCCTAGTTACACTGTTATCTTGACTAGATGAAATCAGTCTTTGAAACTTTCTGCAAATCTCCACAACCCAAATTGAAGGAGGGACACCAGCTCTACAAAACATTGAACCAGTATTCACATCCCTACCATCAGCAACCTTTTTAGTCCACCTTTTCATGATATATTTGTTAGGAATACTTGAAACACAGTGTATATGAAGAATGCGTAAACAATGGCAGCATAAAATTCCTAACTCCGAAATCAACTTGCAACTACACGAAATGTCTAAGGTTGACAACTTAAAACTGACTTCATGCCTTATAATATCTATATCTGGACGCCATACGTGATACTTGAACTGACAACCTTCATTCAACACCATTTCTTGATGACAGGCATTGCCTTTCATGAATTGTTCCTCAAACAAAAAATATATCTCAATCGTATATACCTCTCTAGCGTGTAACAGAAGTTTCACGTGCTCCATCATCATGTTGGGTACCCCTTGAGTACAACGAAAGTCTTCACCATTCTCTTTGCTCCTCCATTCAGAAGTTACACTAACAAACGATGAATAAAAATCACATAGACCTGCAGTCTTGGACAGCCTTCTTGAAATCGAATGGTTAGTAGTTTCACTCCTTTGCGATGATAAAATGCCCCCTGAAAAATAGTCCTTATTGAATGCTGGACACCACTTCTCCCTACAGTCATACAGCTTTTGTATCCAACTATTCTTGTGGCACTTGTAGTCAGTCACCAACCTGAAATGATAAGACATATGTTCAGAACTCTAATGCTATATATCCACAGTTCCAATATAATAAAACCACAAATTGAATGCATATAATACAAACAGAAAGCTCACTGCTTCACTACTACACGTTCAGACAACTAATACTATATATCCATAATTGTAATATTATATATCCACAATTCCAATACTATAAATCCATAAATTGCATGCATATAATTTAGAGACAAACAGGAAGCTCACTGCTTCACTAATACATGTTCATACAACTAATACTATATGTCCATAATTTTAACACTGTATATTCACAATTCCAAAACTATAAATCCATAAATTAAATGCATGTAACTCAGGAACAATCAAGAAGTTCCATTCTATACTACAACATGTTCACATAATTCTAATACTATATATTCATAATTCTAATACTATATGACCATAATTCTAATACTAAACATCCATAATTCAATTACTGGAATCGAAAAAGGAAAAAAAAAAAGTAGTGGACATACCTTGTCCAATAAAATTCAAACTCAGCTTCAGTCTCTGTGTATTTCAACACACAGTTAAACATATCTAAGAAATCCTTGTTATTCCTTAACGCCTTGATATGCTTCTTCGAATTCTCGCCAATATGCCATATGCAAAGACGGTGACGTGATGTTGGAAACACCTGACAAATAGCAGCAGCCATGGATGCACATTGATCTGTCATGATAGTCTGTGGACATTTCCCATTCATAGACCTTAAAAATGCTCTAAACAGCCACACAAATGATTCTATCCTCTCATTCATCAGAAAACCACATCCAAACATTACATTCATGCAATGGTGGTTCATCCCTACAAAAGGGCCACAAATCATATCATATTTATTAGTGCGATAAGTTGTATCGTGCACTAATAAATCCCCAAACAACTCATAGTCTTGTCTCATCCGACCATCCCTCCAAAAAAAACTGCATAGTCTTGAATCACAATCAACTTCAAAATCAAAGAAAAAATCAGACTCAGTTGACTGCCTCTTCCTAAATATTTCAATTAATGAGTTCGAATCGGTTCCATCCAAACGCTTTGATGTATCAGAAGCAATTGAATTATAAGCATCTCAATTAGTGAAGCCAACTAATGGAGACCCCCCTGCTTGATGTTTCAAGAACCTAATACCATCTGCCATTGCAACACCACTCTTCTTCAAATCTTTTAAATATAACAGTTGATTATCACCCACATTTCTATGTGAACGCAGAAGATGACTCTTGTCTACAGCACATAACTCGTGATTGTGCACTTTTACATGTTTTGTAACCGTCCACAACCCATCCTCACCGTCAAACTGAACACATGCACCACACCCTGACCTTGTGTCAATTTTTGAATATGCCCTAACACCAGCATTTGCCTTAACCTTAAAACCAGCTTTAGAACACATAAACATCTTCATTTGGACTGTTTTGCTATATACCTTGCACCGTTGATTACCCTTCCTCACACTAAAACCAACTCTATATGCATAATTGTTATACAACTCATACGCTTCAACCCCGTTACTTACAACAACACCAACCAAATCTTCATCAACTGCAAATGCAATATATAACCTCAAGTATACTAAATAATACACGTTCCATTGAAAATATAATTCCTATGTAGAGGGGGTGCGGGGAATGCCGAATAAATCCAGCCATGCTCTACAAAAGGAATAACATTTTCCATGGAAAAAGAATGAACATATAACAATGCTGAACACTGTGAATTATGATCATATAAAACTACATATAGACCTGGATTAGAAGAAGAACCATCAATGTCTAACTCTATTGGATCTGAACTTGGTGAATCAACAACAACATCTTCACTGACTGCATAGTGTTAAAAGCCAGAACAGAGTATCAGTTTAGAAATTTGTGGATGTATAGTATTATAATTCTGGATGTATAGTGATAGAATTCTGGATATAAAGCTCACAGTTTCTGGACATAAAAGTTCAATAATTATGGATATACAATCCAGAACAGAGTATCCATTCACAAAATCCTTGATATATACTACTATAATTCTGGATATATAGCTCACAACTTCTGGTTTTATAGTTCAAAGATTATGGATATATATTTCGTTCATTCAGAAAACCATAAACACATAAACACCAAGAGTTACGAATGATCTCAGACTAGAATCACATAAACATCACATACACAATAAACATCACACTAAATATAAACACCTACACAATATATCACACTGCAAAAATCGCAAACGACCACAAATCCATAAAAATCAAACTGCAAAATAACCTGGAACCGTATGCAATTCATCGCCTGCTTCATCTCTCTGATCTAATGCCTCGTCTCTCTGGTCTACTGCATCATCCATCATGAGATCCATACAATAAATCAGGAAAACGACTGCGATCGCTATTGCGATTGCGATTTTACGTATACTGCAATCAAAACGCCAAACTACCAAAAAATCGCAAAACTACCAAATATGATATGAATAACGCCGCTAACGGCCATCCAATTTTTTTTTTTTTTTGATTTTGTGCGCGCCGTGTCGTTTTTTTAGTAAAACGGCGCCGTTTTGCAACCGTATGCACCTTGCTAGGTGCATTCGGTTGCACGGCATAATTTGCGGCAAATTATGCTGTGGACTCGTGTGAGTCCAAAATGATGTCGTTTTCAGGGAAAACGTGATATTTTAGTTAAAAAAAATTATTTTATCTCTCCGTTAATGGCATTAACGGCGTTGATCGTTTGTGACATTATGAATGTATAGTTATGAAATTATAAATGTAAGTTATAGGATTATGAATACAGAACTCTGATATTATGAACTTACAATTATGAACATATAGTGATAAAATTATGAACATAGAGCTTCGAAAATTATGAATGTACAGTTATGGAATTATGAATGTATAGTTAGGGAATTATGAATGTACAGTTATAGAATTATGAATGTACAGTTATAGAATTATGAACACAGAGCTCTGACATTATGAACTTACAATATGAACATTTAGTGATAAAATTATGAACATAGAGCTTCGAAAATTATGAATTTACAGTTATTGAATTATGAATATATAGTTACAGTATTATGAATGTACAGTTATGGAATTATGAACACAGAGCTCTGACATTATGAACTTACAATTATGAACATATACTCCTATAACGAAGCGGTCTAAAATATAATTAAAAAAAAAATGGAAGATAACGGTGCCACTAACGGCACCGTTACCGTGTCCAGCATGGTCCATATATAGCATAACGATTGGATTGTGGGCAAATTATGCTCTTGCAAGGTGGATATGATTCCAAAACTGTTATAATTATGAATATAGAGTTCAAAAATTATGAACATAAAGTTCTATAATTATGCACATATAGTTCTGTAATTGTGAATATAGAGCTCAATAATTGTGAATATGAAGTTCAAAATTTATGAAATTAGAGTTTTATAATTATGAACATAGAGTTCAATAATTATGAACATAAAGTTCTGTAATTGTGAATATAGAGTTCAATAATTGTGAATATAAAGTTAAAAAAATTATGAACATATAATTTTATAGTTATGAACATATAACCGTGTCCACCTTGATTGTGTGCTAGATTTCAACGGAATTAATGTCATTTTTTTTTTAAATTTTACAAATATCATTTTATTTGAAAAATTTAAAAACATTTTATGAAAAATAATTTCTAAACAAATTTAGTATATTTAAAGAACATTTTCATCTTTTTAGTGTTTAGCTAATAGTAACAAAAATAAACATTGTTGGAAAAATAGCATTAAAATGATATTTTGAATGATTATTTTGTGGTATAAATATATGTGGGATCCACCTCCGATTTGGGTCGGGTCAAGGTGGATTCGAGTTCTTCGTAGTGAGACGGAGAATTTGATATAATGTACGCTCAAAATGAGTAATAGGTGAATGAGAAATTGATTCTCAAAGTGAACCTATTTGAGAGAAGTCAAAATCTTAAGATAGTTGCTAATTAAATTAGCAATTGTTGTGATTCGTTTGTAGCCGAAATGTGCAAGGTTTTAAGCTTGATAGCTAATTAAGGAATTAGCTGTGATGTGTATCACGAAGGTTTAAGCTTAAAACATGATTAAGCTTTGAAAAAGATTAAAATAATGATTTGGGATTCAAAGTGAAGTTTGGTGCTTTTGAGCACAAATTCATGCTTTGATTTTTGGACTCCTTTCGTGTGAGTTCTTTCGTGTAGCACCACTTTGGTGCTTCTAGCACGAGCCAATAATGCTATTTGCATTGATTCGTGCTGCACCGTTTCGGTGCTTGCGGACTACTTGGGTGTGATTTTCGGTCTCAATTTGTTAAACTTTTGGGTTTGTACAGACTTCTCGGTCACTCAGATATTTTTGAAACTGGTCGTTATGGTCGGTACGAATTAATCGGATGTTAAGTTCGTGACCGTTGATATTATTTCAATAATAAGTACGACCGTTTCAAACGTTATAATTCAATTTTAAATTGAATTTATGTTGGTTAATGTGTCATGATGATGCTATTAAGTACCAACCTCTTATATAAGAGTGTAGTGGGAGTAGAGGTCTTTGAAGTGTATAGTGAGAGACAACAAGAGAGGGAAGAACGAGAGTGACACATCACACAAAGATAAGTACTTTTTTCTTCTCAAAAACTCTGCTCCTACTCATTTTCTTGCTACTGTGTTTTGCACGTGCTCTAGTTCGCCGGGTTCGTTCGTTTGGGTGCTCAAACGTCGAACCGCTGTACGTTTTATCCTGGGAAACCTAGGCCACAATGCTCCTAGCACTTTTGGGAGGTGGCAAATAAGGTTTTAAGGAAAGAAAGGCACTCGCCTAACTCGTACGATTCCTTCTTCCTTCTCCTTCTTTCTTGTTTGGATTATGCTCTAAGCAAAAATCCGTTCTTTGTTTTTGTTTTGGAAGTATAATCTAAGGATTATATTTTCTTTTTGGTTGATATATATTGGTATATCTTTTTCGTAGATATATATGTATATATAACCGTTGGATCCGTTATATATATATATATATATATATATATATATATATATATATATATATATATATATATATATATATTTGTGTGTATATATATATTTCGGATATATATCCAATAATATTATATATATATATTTCGTGTGTATATATATAAATATTATTTTACGGATATTAAATCGATTGTGATTCATTATCACCAACAAACATATCCTTCTACGTGGAGAGTAGTCTCTAAGATTCAAACATAATATCAAATTGAATGATGTGTTCTATCTAAATTAAAAGTCTAAATTGATAGTTGGATTATACCCTTTACTGTTAGCGTTATGCATTGGTATAATTTGTTGTTGGTTTAATTCTTGGCAAAAATAAGCTTAGGAAGTCCTTTGTTTGGTAGAATAGGGGTTTATACTTGTTTATGGTATAACACGACTAGTACAGAAGAAGGTCCCGGAAAGACTTGGCTACAACGGAAATATTACATTTTTATTATATATTTACAATATTATTATATTTTTTTAATTTTTTTTTAAAGCGCTCAAATGGATATAAATACGACATGCGTGAAGCAATTTACGTTATCAGTATTATCATTTTAAATCCATTAACAGAGCAAGACTATGTGGTCTAATGGTTGTGAGTTTGAGTCTCAGTAGATTTACAAGGATAGAATTACTGAGAATTTCAATTTAAATGTTGACTCATTACTATTTTTTCCCAGTGAATTTACAAGAATAGAATTACTGGGAATTTCAATTTAAATGTTGACTTATTACTATTTTTTCCCCAAAAGCCCTGTAAAGATTTATTTTACAGTTTACGTATCTATAACGTGATATCCCATTGGTTCACGGTAACAATTACTGTTTCTTTTAATTAAAAGAAGATTAAATCATTATCTACCGTATAACAATTGCATAATATCATAAACCACAAAATGTCACTTTTAAAGGAAAAAAGCGCTCAAATGGATATAACACTTTCCGTGATGATGGTAGTAAAAAGACAACTTCGTCGCAATCGGGCAATCCGTCCTTTGAGACTTGTATTGCAGTGGGCATTCACTCTTTCACTCACGACATCGTAACAGGAGGAGCATGCTGTCTTAGGATATGTGGTCGACTTGTTTATCTCTCTAAACATGTTGTACACCTCTTCACTGCCTCCCAACCAATTCTCTATCACACCATAACGCCGGAGAATCTCCACGTCTCTCGGAGAATCAATGAGGCTACTAAAGAACTTGACGTAGTTTGTGACAAAGTACTGATGGGGAAGAAGATCCTTGCTGGAGTAGTATTGCTCGTACGCCATGAGATTCCTCAACACACTCTCCGTCCTGTCCTCGATTGTTAACGTTGGAATCCACAACACCCCACGTCTGAATTCTATGTTAAATTGGCTGATGATTTGTTTTGCTTCTTCGCTTCTTCTGAGCTTCACTCCATTCTCTGTAAGCTGTGAAGCAGAAGAATAGAACCTCCCTTTCTTTGACTGGGGCCATGTTGGCTTGGCTGGTGGCATGATTGGCATCCACCATTTGTGGATTAATTCAAGTAAATGCTTAACATTTTCACCTGAGATTTGGTTTGGTTTCTGCCCATATCCAAAACCGGGGAATAAATCACTTACAAAGCCAAATAAAAGGTATATTAGCCTGTGGTGTTGGTTGGGGGCCTCAATCAAGTCAAACAATTTGCACAAAACCGGAAATGGGAGCTGATTCTCAAACAGAATCAAGTCACGTTGCAAACTACTCAATATCCAATCCATCTTGAAAATTGGGTCGTCTTTGTCTCGCAGCTCGGCCATGTTGAATTTGCGAACCAATTCTATTATAAAGCAACCATCCAGCACGACCATCTCAGTAAACTTTGTTTGGTCGAGGTTTATGGTTTCTGCATAGTACTCCCGCAGGTGGCTCTCTTGCTCCATTATGGCGTTTACGAGTTTTTCTAAGGAGACCCTCTTCCATTGAAGAAGTGAGTTCATGTAACGCAGCTTGTGTGGCTCCATCCATTGCAGGCTTTGGTGTCCATGATGATAAGGTCCAATGGCCATAATCTCTGGTTGGTAGCTCTTTTCGTTTACGTTGCGTAATTGGTCGTGAACTTTGAATATACAACATCGGTCATGTTGGGTTGTAGCCACATCTTTAAGCCTCTCTTTCATGTATCTGCAAACTGTTTCTGTGTTGGACTGCATGTTCGTTTCTTCTTTGCTTAGCTTGTAAATAATAAAAATAAGTTTTAGCTTTGTAACTTATTATAATAAAAACAAATACATAATTGATCAATATATTAATTCTGAATTAAAGAAATCAAAGAACAAAATTTTACTTTTTTTTTGGGAACGTGGGTCATGTTATGTCAAGATTTTTGTGGTTTAGCTCCAACCGGTTCCATTCATATTTAATTTGAAAGTGATAACTCTACTAACTTTGATATAAATAAATTGATTTTAAAAAAAATTTGTTTGTTGTGGGTCGGGTCAAAATTATATTTTTATTATTTGGCATGGTCTAGTCTAATTCATATTTTTATTTGGAGCTAGCTAATAAAGGGTAAAAAAGTAATTAAATTTTTAAAGACAACTATAGCTAATATTATTATTTCTCTTATCACATTTTATGTATCTAATTTGATTAACAAAACTTGACTATAGTTATTTACAATTCAAATAGTAACCAAACTCCTTGTACTTGGTGATTACCGCTTAATTTGTCTTTCAACTATCATATTCGAGTGGTAACCAAATTCAAGTGACTGAAGTTGGTGACTTGGTGATAACCTCTTTGTCTAGCTATCATATATTCATATCCACTTGTCTTCGTTGTACTTGTTGGCTTGAGGCTGATAAAGGGTTGAAGGGGCCAAGTTCAACACCCTACCTAATGTCTCGAAAATGTGTAGTCATATAAGGAAATAAAGTTACGCCTTTACTACTAGTTATAGCTTTTGGTGTAAATGGTAAGCACTTGATTATAACAAGTGGTATTAGAGACAAGTCACAAATTCGATCCCAACAATAACATTTAAGACTGGTTGGTGCGGTGAAGCAGAGACTAAAATACAACCCTTAAAGGGCTCCATCTTTACTATAAGTTATAGTTCATACATTTCCCAATTTGTAATTTATACTAAAACCATCTTCTTTCAATCACTAGTTATAGTTCATACATATCCCAATTTGTTTAGTAATCTATACTTAAACCATCTTCTTTCAAGCTACGCCTCCACCAAAAGCTTGAACCCAACACCTTCCACATAAGGTAGCAACGTGACACCAATAGACCACAATGTTCTTAGTAAATAAAGTTTATATTATATATGAAAATATAAACCCACCAATTGATTATGTTTTCTAATATAATTGAAGTATGAAAATGGACAAAGAACAAAAGAAGATGAGAGGAGAAATAAAACTCACAAGATCATGAAAGGTGCAGTGGGATCTCCAGCCACCCTCTGCAACTAGCTAGGCGAAATGGTGAAAGGTGCAACTTGCAAGCTCCACAATTGCATTACGAACTAGTAGTACCTATATAATACGGAGTAATAAAATAATTAGGCTATTAACTATTAATTAATAATAAATAGTTAATAAATCAGTGCGAATTTCCTAGTCAACTTCTTGAATAGTACATGAAAGCTACCCCGTTACTTGTTTATTGTTTATAGTGCTTTAATTCTAAATACGACGATTGAATGAGAATCGGAAAACTCGGCAATCGTCGCCCTACACGACAAATTTCAGCACAAAGGTTACGTGATCCTACGGCTAATTGTTTCACACTCTGTATTTCAAAATTGAACGCCTGGCCTCTTCAATAAGTTGAAAAACAGAGTTTTCCAGAAGATAAATATTAAATGTGATTAGGTGAAAATAATGGTTATGGATATATAAGAAAGGGAAGGGAAGAAGCAAATTACTAAAATGCCTTTATTATTTTACTAATTAAAATTTTTCGTTAATTTTTCGTTGACAATTTGATCGGAGTGACTGAAATTAAGAAAAATTGCATAGTTACAGAATTGAATTGATAATTTTGAAATTCGTGAACACAATACTCCAATAGTTATAGGAAACTGAAATTTGTTGTATTGTAGTTTGTTTGTAGGCGAAGAACGAAAACAATAAGAACAAGAAGAAGATAATAAAGAAAGAACAGAGGAAAATGGATTCTCATTACATCATTATCTCTGTACAGTATTACATCAATATATATAACAGCTAATATAGAATCATACTATAAGTATCAAGCCGTTATAAATCATATCATTAATGCTAGAATAATGTCCATAATTAGATTTTACAACACTCACTCTTGGACATTATTTTGCCATAATCATGCCTTGTTAAAAATTTCATTAGGAAAACTACGTGGGAAAAACCTAGTTGAAGAAAAGAGTACATAATATTTGTAAGAACATATATTGTACTGATTGTATCATTAAAAATCTTAACTTAAAAAACCCTGTGGGAAAAACTTACTTAAGGGAAAAAGAGTACAATCATAAGCCTTCAAGACATAATCGGCGTAATCTTCAGGATTTTGGGATTTGTCTACTTAAGCAACTTTTTTCCATTTATGTTACTATATCATACTCATGTCTCGTTAAAAACCTCACTAGAAAATCCAGTGGGAAAAAATTAGTTGAGGAAAAGAGTGCATGATGTATGTTTATTCTTGTTTTAGATTGACTGCCTCATTAAAAAACTTTAGATTTAAAGAAACCCCGTGGGGAAAATTTAACTAAGGAAAAGAGTACAACCGTTAGTCATCTAAGACCCAATCTTCAGGATTGATTCATGTAAAATGATACTCCCCCTCAAGATAACGATCTTTAATTCCCATACATTAAATTTCCAAACTGTATAGAGGAATTTTGTAAATAAATATATACAACTGTCAATTGAATAAATATACTCTATAATAATCTCGTGACTCTTCTGGAGTGGTATAATATAATATTGATATCATAATATCTAGTCAAAAGGATTTCATTATATATCCTTTTATCATTTGTGCAACACAATCTTTATTGACCCTTTATGGGACAATGTGGGTAAATATAGTACAATCAGTTTTGGGGCTTTGGCATTATGGGGATACAAAAATAATAGCCAGTACCCAAGTAGCCCATTGTATATTGGTTTGTCTAAGTATCCAATCAAAAACATATATTGGCTAACTGGTGTATAAAATTTCTTCAAAGAAAAACTCTATCTTCAAATCGAGATAATACTTAGCTTTCCCAAGCTTTTGTTTCAAAAACTCCGTCTTTAGATATAGGCTGACATCATCAAACCCTTTATATATTTCATTGATGTTTTCCACCATCAATATTGACTTAGATAATAAATAATAAATAAGTTTATTATCAACCCTTTATCGAGCACACAATGGTACATATTATTCCTTCAATGCGGATATTAATTCCATTCGCAACCCTTTAAAGAGTAAATATAATGACACTTAAATTCTCATTTCGGGAACTATAAATCCATAAGGGATTTCTCAAAATAAATATTAACTATTTCAGGTCCTATAAAGACCTTAATATTTTAATGTGCGATTTTCACTTTTCCTCATTTTGAGAACTTAAAATCCTTCGAGGACTTTTGAATTTAATATTAGTTGCATATCTAATTTATTATTCTGCCAATGATGTAGCGGAACTTAATGCCTTTTATCGTGGAAAATATGTTTGATTAAAATCAATCAAGGGTATCTGCGTGAACCCATAAGACTACAAACTCGCTTTATATCATATCACCTCATTATTCTTATTTCTCTTTCGTGTACACACCCACTTGTAACCTTCAGGGTTAACTCTCAACGGTGTATTGTTATAAAGAGAATTATTAATAATTAGCGAGTCGAGCTATGCCTTAATTGCTCCTTTATACGTTAAATAGTCATGACACTTCCGATGCATAACTCTGGATCCAGATTATCATATAATGGAACAATTTGTACAGGCTTTTGTGTTGTCGACAACTATAATACTTTCATAAATCTCTCCCATATTTATAATTGTTTATGGCAATATTTAAGTTAACCAGATTCTAGACATTTCCCAGAACTTATTCAGATCACATCTGGTTGTCCCGCATCCCTAGTATTATGTTTGTTTGGTGCACCTATAAATTGACTAGGATTTTTCGTCATCTGGACGAACGTCTCCAAGACATAATTATTCAAGGTATATCAAGAGTGACAATGTTTATTTACTAGATCTAGTATAATGATTCTTATCTCTTACACCGATAGATCTCCTACACTTCTGGCATCAAGGAGCATCGATAGATATATTTGGTCCAAATTGGGGATGGTATATGGACCTAGTCACTCTTTTATGATCAGTATGATCAATAGATGTATTTGGCAGATTATTTGCTAATATTGCAAATATATCATCTTCTGAACTTTCAGTTCAGTCTAACTAGTACATGGATTAAATAATGAAGATATTTTTATTCTATTAAATTTCTTGGCATTCTATTAAATTTGAACTCTTATCTCCCCCTAATGCCGAGAAACAATCTTCATTAATTAAGTATGCAGTCAGTGTACCAAAGGATATGTATATTAGTATCCTATCATGTGCCCTTGGCATTAATTAATTAAGAGACGGAGGCTTCTTTGGTAACCTTTTTTAGAGGTACGCTGTCATGGTGATATATTGAAATAGACTGCGCACTATAAATATTAATGCAGATAGAGAAATGTTTATTTTTAAATCATGTACTAGGTATAACAATCATAACAATCCTTGAGGGATTGATTTGTGATATGTAGTGAGTTAGATTTGGATTTAAAACAAAAGTATATCCCAAAACAGATAATTCAATAATTACTCCTTCACACATGCTCTATAAAATACTCATGTGGATAAGAAATTCTAATATCTAACTCATTATGTTTGCCCAAAGCGACCCAATCGCTCATGCCATAATAAAAAAAAAAAATTGGATCTTTAAAATTTTTAAAAGAATCGCAACAAAAGTATATGCAATCATATATGTCCAAATAGAGAAAGCATACATATTAATTAAATGAAATTATACGATTACACAACCATCTTAGGGGGGTGAAGAGCAAAAAGAAGTGTAAATAGTGAGACCATTCAAGATCTCTAAAAATCACGTACTCAACTTATGAGTAATCATTATCAAATATTATTATACAACTAATTTGCTTTAAGCAAATTATCATGACGTAATTTATTTCCAGCTTTCAAACACATAGCATTTTAAATAACTATATCATGATAACTTTGTGACATGATCATAAAATATTTTGGACTAAATAGCATAAACACTAATGATAGAAATTCAAGACATTTTCATGAGTCATTATCCATATCCAAAATCAATCCCATATGAGGTCTTCTAGACTTAAAAAAAAAAAAAAAAAACGGTTCGATGACCAGGCAATTACCAAGTAGGAAAGGCTTAGAACTCATAAAGTACATTCCTACAAACCAAAAATTTTTGATATCTCGTAAAAATCAATGACATTCAAAATACTTATTGTAATATGGTCATGTACTACTACGGCAGTACAAGGTGACTATCACATATGACAATGAGACCCACACAATTTTAAAATGATTTTACTTATGTATTTCTACTGGAGTACAACGGATTCATGTACCATCCGAAAGGTAACATTCGGGAAGTAAAACTCGTCCAGAAAAGTGAACATAGAGAAGTAAACTCAAGAAGTAAATTCTGAATTGTCAAATAATTCTGGATGACTCACGAGAATTAACTACTCAGATCATGCATTCTATGCATTAATGGATTGCAATAATTTATTGATTGTAGGCTCGTAGCGATCCTTCAGGGATTACCTTAGGCTCTATGAATCTTTTCCAATCAAATATCCATCATAACCGAGGGTTTAGACCAAAAGGTGACAAATAAAAATTAGTGCTCTTAGTGTTTACCTTCTAGGCAAAACTATATTGAAATTAGGCACTGTCATCTTGTTTGGATACTCAGATTTGAGATTTATTTCAATGTTTGAGACTCATGTAAAAGATTTCTAAAATAAAGAGTAGCACCATAAATAAGCTTGAACTTAGACAAATAATCAATTGACTTGTAAATAAATACCAAGTCAATTTTCATTAGGAGATTGTCCTATAGTGCTGTTATATTCTAATTAGGGCAATGACTTGTCGCATTCTAGGCAAAATTATATTCAATATTCATGCTATTTCTACACTTATAAGTTCTGTGATAAATATCAATAGTTATGACCTATAGCAAATAATTGTTACCATCAAGAGCCAACTAAACAAATTCTCTTTTATGATGGTTATCATGGTCACAAAACAAATTTGAGCAAATGAATGTTCTCAAATTTGAGACAATGGACGAGTATTATGCAACATGTCGATTATATTGCCTATCATTAATAATAATAATCCATTGACATAATTTTTATAGGCAATAATATGAAGCACATAGCTAACAATATAATTGTACATATGGCTCTAATATCACAGGTTAGATATAAATATAATCTAACTTAAAGTGAATGACACTCAAATTAAAACATGTAAACATGTAAAACTGACCTTCCAACCGTGATAAGCATAGACAATCCCAAAAAAAATATCCATTGTAGACAATCCCATCTTTTCTCTAATATCTTGAAAAATGCATGTAAGCTTAAATTGAATTCTTCTGGAATCATCAATTTATTCAAGGAACAGTAGTATACTGGTGATTTATGATACCAAATTTGGATCCACAGCCCCCTGTAAACAAAACAATCTTAATATTTTCAAAACCAGTTCAGTATTGATTTTGCACCAACGTGCGGACGAAAAAGTTCAAGCGTAGCCATTCTTCCATATATTGGCACATTCAACTTTTTTGTAGAAACAAACTTACAGAAATCAGACCATCGGTTCATAATTGCATAGTTACAGAATTGAATTGATAATTTTGAAATTCGTGAACTGAAATTAACAATACTCCAATAGTTATAGGAAACTGAAATTTGTTGTATTGTAGTTTGTTTGTAGGCGAAGAACGAAAACAATAAGAACAAGAAGAAGATAATAAAGAAAGAACAGAGGAAAAAGGATTCTCATTACATCATTATCTCGGTACAGTATTACATCAATATATATAACAACTAATATAGAATCATACCATAAGTATCAAGCCGTTACAAATCATATCATTAATGCTAGAATAATGTCCATAATTAGATTTTACAACAAAATTAACAATAATCCAATAGTTATAAGACTAAAAGTGAAATTAACTTAGGTAAAATAAATATGTGTAATCATATACAATTTTTATTTTATTAGTTTTTCTTCTTCCAAAAGGTTGAAAGGTATCTGCCCACACTGCCGCCGCCGACCGCCGAGATTCGAACATTGATCTCTTCTCCCAAATACTACCTACTGAACCATTGAGCTAAGCCCGTGCCGGCTTTGTTTTGTTTTGTTTTTTTTTTTTTTTTTTTTTATAGTTTTTCTTGTAGTACTTGAGAATGCTAAAAACAAGTTGTGCCATTGACAAACAAATTATAAGAGAAGCCGCACATATAGATGTGATCCCCCAAGGATTACAATAGTTGGCCCACATCTTTGCCTTCCATCTGTTACCTCTTTTGTTGCAATGGGTGTTCAATTTTTCAAAAACCATACTATATCTGGACTCTGGGCTCTCAACTGTAATGCATTCATTTATCTTTCTAAATATATCGGAAATTGCTTTTGTGTCACCCATCCAATTATCAATGATGCTATATTCACAAAGTAAGTCCACGTCTCCCTCAGAACCAATAAGTCTGCCCAAAAAATTAATGTAATCCGTCACAAAACGTTCTTGGGGTTTCTTTGAATATTGCTCGTATGCTAAGAAATTTCTAAATATAGTCTCTGTCCTATCTTCGAAGGTGAGCTGTGGAATTCTTAACTTCCCCTTTTGAAACTCAATAGCAAATAAACTTAGATTCTCACCCTTCTTAAACACCACACCAGCCTCTTTAAGTGTTGATGCACAAAGAAACTTCCGATCTCTTTGTATCTTTCTCACTTTTGCATCATTTTGTTGGCTCCCTAGATTATGCCATCGACTATGTATTAACCCAAGTAAATGTCCAACATCATCTTTGGTTTCATCAACTTTGTCTTCATCTATTGTCATTCCTGGAAAGAGGTTTTTAAAGAAACAACATACTAGATAAGCAAGCCTAGAATGTTGGTTTGGGGCTTCAACCAAGTCAAACAACTTACACAAAACCTTGAAGGGCATTTGGTTTTCTAACAAAAGCAAATCCCTTTGCAAAGAACTCAACATCCAATCAAATTTGAAGATGATATCGTCCTTCTCCCTCAATTCACTCATGTTATTCTTGCGCAACAGTTCTATTATGAAGCACCCATCTAAGATCATCATGTCTACAAACTTCCCTTTGTCGTCGTTGAGACCAATAGGTTCAACGTAGTATTCACAAGCCTCATTTTCCAGTTCCGACATAGCAGCTCTATATTCTTGGAGTGGTTTTGAATTAATAAGGTTTTTCAAGTAGCGATGTTTGTGTTCCTCCATCATCTTTGTACTCTCTTTAGCTCGATGATAAGGACCGATTGCCACAATCTCCGGCTCATAGGCCCTTTCATTGACTTGTCGAAGAAGCCCATGAATACGATGAATAGGACGCTCAAATTGTCGGCTGCAAATGTCATCAAGACCTTGCTCTATGTTAATATTAAGGTTTCCTCGGATTTGAACTGAGAGCTCGTAAGTCCTTTCACTAACTTCTTGGAGATGGCCTTGAACTTTGAGGATAGGATGTTTAAGCTTTTGCTTACAAAAATCAGCCACTCTTTCGTCTATGTTAATCAAAATATCGCCACTGATATTATCTGAAAATGGCAACAATTTAAGAAATTAAAGTAAATTAAATATATAATAATGTCACATTGTGTGGGACCGTCTTACAAATCCTTAGACCATCTTCAATAGTGAGGGTTTTGGTGTGGTTTTTGAGGAGTTTTTGTAGGTGTGATTAGGAAAGAGAAAATATGGGAGTAGATTAAAAAAAAAACAAAAAATGAAAAGTCAGCAAAACATAAAATAAAAAAAAATAAAAACAAACTTCTGACGTGCCAGCTTGGCGCGTACAGTTCACGCGCCCGACTGGCGTTCTATTGCGCAGCACGTGACTGCTCTTTAATTTGAGTGGGACCCACAATATGATAAGAACCCCATTTTTGCAGGGAGAACTTTGAGGCGATTGAGGAAATTATCTCAGAGTTATGTGTTGATGATCTGAGAACGTTTACAGAGTGGGTTTATATACATATAACACAACACAAAGATAGGAGAACTAGCTAAAGACTAGGCTAACTGAACCTATAATTCTAACTGCCTAATACACCCCCCTCAAGTAGAAGGCTAACAAGGGACGACGCCAAGCTTGAAACGGAGGTCAGTAAACCGAGAGACAAAGAGAGATTTGGTGAAGATATTCGCCAGTTGATCATGAGTGGACACAAAGTTCACCTTGAGAGCACCAGTCGCGACTTGATCACAGACAAAGTGGTATTCCACCTCCACATGTGTAACACCCCGTGTTACGACCCCTAAGATCAATTAAATCATTTAATCAATTACCCAAAAGAAAGAATTAAATCACAATAATTAATTAGGAAGGCCCACCATAGTCCACGAGCCCTTATCCCTAAACTCAATCCTTAGTCCCAAAAGAAATAGAACTAGCAAGCCCATAATATTAGTTCCTAACTAGGACACCTAAATATATAAATAGGGGACTTAAGAGGCACCTAGAACCCTCCCCTCAAGATTAACGCCCACCACCCCAAAAGAGCTCCAAGAATCCCCTTAGAAGAAATCAAGAAAGCAGGAAAGCTTAAAGAGAGACCCTTCATAGCCAAGGAATTAATTAAGGCTAAGAGGTAACCCATGTCTCAACAAAACCTATTTTCATAGCTATGACTTCCCCCGTAGGATTTCCCCATATTATTGTGTATTGATGATTTGTGATATTATTATTGATGATTGATGGGATAATTCCATGGGTGATCTTGATATTGGGAGATCCTTGATAATTATGGTGTTCTTGATGATTATGTGGAGTTCTTGACGTTTATATGTCGTTCTTGATAATTGTATGGCATTCTTGATGCTTATGTGATATTCTTACCGAATCTTGTAATTAGAAGACGAATCGTATTCTTGTTGGTATAAAAGTGATTAGAACCCTAGGTTGTATCGTATGACATTATTCTTGGAGTATCGGGTGGGAAATCGCATGTTTGGGTGACAATTATGTTTAGAAAAGCATGATAGGTTATGTTCCGTACGTTTCTCGTATTTGATCCGTTAATTGTCTACGTGTTGATCGTTAATTGCGTTGTAAAGTGTCTAAGCATGGTTTCGGGTTCCACAACGGTTCCTGGGGCGTTTTGTGTATAAAGAGTCAGTGGGGGGTAGGTGGGGGGGGGGGGGGGGGTAGGAGACCCGCCACCTACCCGCGGTCAAAGAGGGCAGTCCCGGCAGCGGGCAGCCGGCGGGCGGGCAGCTGCCCGCCGGCGACCCGCTGCCCGGAACAGTGTTACCGGCGGGTGGCCCCCCCCCACCCACCGGCTACCCGCTGGGAATTCCCATTCGGGACCCCGGCCTCCCCGTTTGATGTTTTCCCCGATCCCCGTGGTGTCCCAACGGACTCCGTCTATCGTGCCTATGTCTAGTTGGATATTTCGGGTACCGTTCGTAGGTTGTATGAGTCTTTTATATTGCATGCTAGTTGAATTGGTATCCCGTTGACCTAGGTGGAAGAAGCATGAACCCCTTAGGATTATTCTTAGTATGTGAAGGATCACGCATAGGTTTTGTTATACGTTTTCTCCCCTCCCCAATGTGTTAATGTGGGTTGCCTGTGCTTGCTATGTGTTATGTGTGCATGATACCCCAATTCGGTTGCGATCGGATTGGTTATTCCTGAGCTGCGGTTCAGAAGCTGGCTGCGGTCAGATTAACACTCTTGGGCTGCGGTCCACCGTTTGGTTGCGATCAAACGTTTCCACATGAGCTGCGGTTCATACTTTCCTGGCTGCGGTCAGATGACATACTCTTGGGCTGCGGTCCACTGTTTGGTTGCGATCAAACTATGATGAGCTGCGGTTCATCGGTCGGTTGTGATCGACCCCTCCGTGTTGTGATACGGGGCAGGGTGCTGCGGGGCCATGTCAGAGCTATATGCGCTGACCCTCATGTATGGGCATGCGATTGGTCCTGTGGCGCCAACAAAGTGTGCTATGTGTTGAGATATGGATGAGTTGTGACTACGAGTATCTTGGGGGATGTGACTATGGGATTTATGCTGGGGATTGTTTATGTTGGGTTATGATTATTAATTGTGCTCAGCGTTATCTGTCTTGCCTGTTGTGGATTGTATACGCTTGTTATAACTGTTGCTTGTGTCTAGCCTTATCTGTCGAGTCATTCCCGGTTTTAAAAGCTAGAGTTCGTAGGATATATCTTCATGCTCAAAATGGTTTTCGTATATCTATATATATATCTATATGTATTGTATTTCAACGCGTTGGAGTGGGTTACCAGCATCTCTCGCTGAACAGATATATTTGGCTTTCAGGCACAGAAGAATAAGTCACTGGAGCGCGCTAGAACTTGGAACGTAGAAGTAGATAGTTTCCCTTTCGGCCTGCGTGCCATGTTTATGCATTTACATTATTGAGGATATTAGTTAGTTAGCCTGTGCACCTGAGTTCTCTAGCTTAGGTGTGGCATAGCACCCCGCACTCTTGTATTATGTTTTGGGATTTAATGAGATTTCACCTTTATTTTGTAAGTTTTAAATATCCTGAAAATCTGGGGTGTTACAACATGTTTAGTCCGTGCGTGAAAAACTAGATTCGAACACAGATAGGTTGCACCTAGATTGTCACAACAAAGTACCGGAGTAGTGGAACAGTCTAAGGCAAGATCCCGAAGAAGGGACTGAACCCAGACTACCTTAGCTGAGACATCGGCAACGGCTTTGTATTCGGCCACGGTTGAGCAGCGGGCGATGGTCTGTTGTTTCCTAGAGCACCATGAAATTAAACTGGGTCCAAGAAAGACTGCATAGCCGGTAGTATACTTTCTATCCAGTGAGCAGCCAGCTCAATCTGAGTCTGAAAAAGCGTGAACCACAAGAGACACCGAAGCCGCTAGGCGAAGCCCCAGTGAAAGCGAGCCTTTGATGTACCGCAAAACGCGCTTTAGGGCAGCCCAATTATCCTGCGTAGGATTATGCATGAACTGGCACAATCGGTTGACAACAAATGATAAATCCGGCATAGTGATTAGTAAATACATCAGGGAGCCAACAAGTTGGCGATAGAGTGTGGGATCATCCAACAGTGACGAGTCAGCATCGCTATGTGTCGTTGCCGTGGTCATCGGAGTAGATAACGGTTTGCAAGATTCCATCCCTACTTTGCGGAGGAGTTCAGTCATATACTGCCGTTGGGATAACAACACTGCATCAGTGGTGTAGAGAGATTCAATTCCGAGAAAAAACCGTGGCTAACCTAGGTCCTGGATTTTGAATGTCGAGGAGAGTTGCTCCAAGATAGACTCCACCTGTTTGATATCATTACCAAGCATGAGAATGTTATCCACATACACGAGGATGTAAATGCGGATTCGACCAGACTCATAAATGAAGAGGGACACATCTTCGAGGGTCGAAAACCAACATGAACCAGGAAGTCATGGAGTCTAGTAAACCAAGCCCGAGGGGCATGCTTGAGGCCGTATAATGACCATTGTAGTTTGCAGACATGGTCGGGGAAGCTCGGATTAGCATAGCCAGGTGACTGCCGCATAAAGATATCTTCGGTAATGTGGCCATTTTAGAACGCATTATGGACGTCTTGTTGCTTCATGACCCACTTGTTCGAGACGGCAAAGGCTAACAATAGCCTAACAGTAGCCGATTTGACAACTGGGCTATACGTTTCTAAATAGTCGACGCCTGGGACTTAGTTGAACCCATTGGCAACCAGGCGAGCTTTATACCGCTCGACAGAGCCATCAGATTTACGTTTAATGCGATATACCCATTTGCTATCTATTACATTAATTGCATTATGAAAAGGGACTAATTTCCACGTCTGATTGTGCAGAAGTACGTTGAACTCCGCATCCATTGCGCTACGCCAGTGTGGGCACTTAATAGATTGAGAGTGACACGTTGGCTCATCATCGTCAACCGAAGCGATCAAGGCTCGGGGAGGACGTCATTGTTGGTTTGTCTTGGTGCGGAGCTGCATACCATGGGTTTGAGTCAGGGACCTTTTTCTCCGGGTGCGAGGCGGTGCAGTCGAGGTAGTAGGCGGCTAGTATGACGAGTCTGTCATTGCAGCCGGTGATATCTGCATGGGTGCAAAAGTGCTTCCGGTAGGAGAGATCATGGGTGGTCGTGGCTCAACTGGGGGCAGCGGTGCATCACGGGAGGCTGCTGATTGTATGATCTGTGCGGACGTCCATGGTAAGTGCCTGGAATTCGTCGTGTGACTCTCTGTAGGTTCGGCACTTGAGAAGAAATAGGAACACATACTCATTGAATCAAACATGTCGGGCAATTTAAACCCGCCCCGTTGTTCTGACTAGACACCTGTAACCACTGAATGAATCGAGGTAACCCAAGAATACACATGACACAGAACGAAACTCCATTTTATATGTATTATAGGGACGCAAACAAGGAAAGCATTTGCAACCGAAGACACGTAAAAGACTATAGTTTGGGGACTTATGAAATAGAATTGAGTACGGACTTTGATTGTGTAGGACTAAGGTTGGCATCCGATTAATTAGGTAGATTGCCGATTCAAAGGCAAAATGCTAATATTTATGGGGAACATGATTGTGGGCTAGTAAAGACAAGCCAGTCTCCACAACATGACGATGCCTACTTCAACTAGTCCATTTTGTTCATGTGTGTGGGGACATGAATGTCGATGTAAACTACTCACGGACGCTAACACCGAGTGTAATTTGCGATATTCACCTCCCAGGTCTGACTGGATACTTTTAATTGGAGTGGAGAAATATTTTTCAACTAAAGCACGGAAATGAGCAAAAATTGAATAAATGTCTATTTTATTTTTCATTGGGTGTACCAAATATATCTTGAATAGTCATCTACAAACAACACAAAATATTTAAACCCTTCAATCGACGTGATCGATGAAGGTCCCCAAATATCCGTGTAGACTAACTCAATAACAAACGTGGTTGAATGTTTAATTTGCGACAAGGGAAAGCGAGTAGACTTTCCCATTTGACACGCAGTATAGACTCTGTTCATAGAACTTAATGAATTATTAACAGGACATCTAGACAAAACCTGACGAAGAACTTGATTATGTGGGTGACCGAGACGTTGATGCCAGACCTGAGCTGATGTTTTAGCAGACAATAGAGCAACCGGAGATGGTGCACTGAGCGAGTACATACCTCCTACACTGGGACCTCTAAGAAGAGTTCGGTGGGTAACACGGTCCTTCACAAGAAAATAAAAGGGATGAAATTTGAAATATATGTTGTTATCTTGTTTGAATTGATGCACAGATAATAAAGAAGCACGTAATTTCGGAACGTGTAGTATATTATGTAGAGACAGTAACCGAAACGGGGTAGGGATAGAGACTAAACCTGTACGCAATGTTGACAAACCTGAGCCATCGTCGACTTTTAAATTTTCGTTGCCCGTGTATGGTTCGGTGTCGTGTAAAACTCCTAAGTTTGGCGTGGCATGTGCATTCACCCCCGTGTTTGGAATCCAGACGTTATTAAAGGGAGTTGAGTTGAAGTCATCATGTGGTGGCTGCTAATAAGCCACATTGGCACGGGGCGTTGAAGGCCGATTCCACGCCTGTTGAGGAGGACGAACGTCAGCGACGTCATTGTACCTCCGGTAGCACGTCAACGACGTGTGGCCGGGGATCGATGTCGTAGATTTGACATCTAATACCGCCACGACCACGCTGCATGCGGCCCTGGTGCCCTCGGCCACGGTTGCCGTTTGGAGGACTTGACGTGACCGGCTGCTGCGTGAGGAAGGCCACCGGAAACTGGGGCAGTGAAGGCTAGGCTTCATCCGCGAACAAGTATTGGTGAGTGGCGAGAAGATCAGCCACCTCAGGAAGCGTCAATGGAGTACTCTTTGAAGTTAGGGAGGCAACCAAAGCGCGGTACTCCGAACGTAGACCCCTGAACACATGAAGGTTCTGTTCGTCAAGACTAACCGGTCGGCCGACCTGAGTGAGTTGCTCGACGAGATCCCGAGCTCGTCCTAGGTATTTCGACGGGGTCGACTCTCCTTGACGAAGATTCTGGAACTGCGCCAGTAAGCTGAGTGATCTCGCACGAGAGGAGGAGCCAAGCGCTGTCTCTAACGCCACCCACACCGCACGTGAAGTAGAATGGCTGATTGCGAGATACAGAACCTCTTCAAGAGAGAGGATATAAACATGCTCAAAATGGACTGGTCCTGTTGAATCCATTGAGCGCGTAGAGAATTGGTCACCGGGGGCGCATCCGAGGAAGACGCAACGACGTACTCCGGTAGGCAAACGGTGGTGCCGTCAACAAAACCATACAATTTTTGGCCACGCAAAAACGACATAAGCTGCGCTCTCCAGAACAGGTAGTTTGTGGCGGTCAGCTTAATGGAGACATTGTGGTGGTCTTGGTGAAGCATATTTTAAGAGGGTGTGTACATGATGGGGACGACGGTGATCGCCTGGGTGGTGGCTGCCGTCAGCGGAGGCAGGTCGGGTGTTGGCATTTGAATCAAAGGCCATTGGATCAGAAGGGCTTTTAAACTGATACTAGTATAGATTGGGGAAATTATCTCTGAGTTATGTATTGATGATCTGAGAACATTTACAGAGTGGGTTTATATACATATAACACAACACAAAGATAGGAAAACTAGCTAAAGACTAGGCTAACTGAACCTATAATTCTAACTGCCTAATAGAGGCTTCTTTCTCCTCACCTTCTCTCTTCCAACTAAGCAAAATTTGCCTAAAAAACTGTGAATAATCCCTTTTAGGGATGCCCTTATTTGTGATACGGGTCGGGTGGGTCGATATGGAAATGTAATACTCCATATTTAGATTATATTGAAATTAGTAATACTAATCAGGAATAAAGTGTTGTTACTTACAAGGGAAAATGTAATACATTGTAGCCTAAGTTTTTCATAATAAAATAGATTTATGACAAATAGTTGAATATTCAAACTAAATGGCTGAAGTGTCATCCCGCACCCTAAACTATAAGCGATTCTTCATGCCACACCCTAACCTTTCATAAATGCTATTTCAATTCATGAACTAATTTTTTTTGTCATCTATAACTTTTTTTAGGTTCCCTTCAAAGTTATAGGTAATAATATGCTGACAATGAATATTTGGGCCCAGCTGTGATACGTGTGGCAGCCATTTCATCATTTCACTTGAATAAACAAAAGCCTTAATTTCCTAAAATACCCAATTGTCCAAAATTCATACATTCATACAAGAATTTAAACATGAACATTCCGGTGCGGCTGAATCAGGTGGTGCCGCGGCGGTGTCGCCGTAGTAGGCGGTAGGCAGCTTTCCGGCAGCCAGAGTGTCGCCGGATTCTGGAAATTCCAGAAAATCTCCAGACAAATTTGGGGGAGTTAGGTATGTTGTCAGATTTTTTTATTTTTTTTTGATAATCTTTAATCAATATTGATATAAGTTTGACAGAAGGGGATTAAGATTTAAGAAGATGCAATTCATCGAAAAGAAGATGGGCAGAGCATTGCCTTATTGTTCGAAGCTGTTGGACCCATTGGCTCTCCTGGACCCGACCCGCCCAATCCGGAACTACGCCGCCGAACAAGACACCGCGCACGGCCTCCATGACTCTCATCGCGTTCTCCGCGTTAACGGAGAACAGCTGCGGCTACCATCGTCTCTAAACGCTCTCCGAATAGCTGAATCAGAAGCAGTTCGGATCTTCTTCCTCTTCATCATCCTCATCACTCAGATCCAAACACGACACTCCGTTCTCAACATAACGCGCGTAGCCGTTCGGCAATCGATTGAAATTGCTACCGGACGGATCTCGATCTCCGTCACCGAGATCTGAATGTTGATCGGAGAATTCTTCGCCCTCGTCATCTCCGTCGGCCTTAGGAGAAACCCAATCCCACGCAAAACCAGTGGGAGGAGCCAGTGGATAAGAGAGTGGTGACTTAGAAGGAGCGGCGGCAGATGGATTCTGATCCAGAGAGGACGCTGGGGAAGAACGTGGTGTCGGCACTTGCGGCGGAGACGCGACCGGAGATGCAAATATATTCGGTGAAGGAGGTGTGGCTCTTTGAGCCTGAGCAAGTGCGACCCAGTTTTTTTTTTTTTTTTTTTCAAAAAATAAAAATAAAAATTGCTTACATGGCTTCCATCTCTCATTTTTATTTAAAATTATTAATGCCACATCATATACAACCGGCTCCATGTCATCAATTTTACTGGGAAACTTACAAAAAGTTCTAGATGATAATTTTTTTTTTTAGTTTATGAATTGAAATAGCATTTATGAAAGGTTAGGGTGCGGCATGAAGAATCGCTTATGGTTTAGGGTGCGGGATGACACTTCAGCCAAACTAAATTGTCACCGACAAAATAGAACAAGGGTAGAACACTGGAGTTCCTATAAGAACGGATGACCAGAAGTTTTGAAGGAAGAGAATGACAGAGCTAGCGATGAAAATATTATTGTACATGCTATGGAAGAGTACAAACAAAAATATGGCCGAGACAAATTTAGATACAAACATGTATAGGCCATTTACAAAGACTTTCCAGGCTGGGCACCCTCATTTGTAGCTCGTCAACTGTCTATGAGTAAATCATCCACCAATCAAATATCAAGCACCAGTGTAGAGGGTAGTTGAGATGTTAGTAGCAAAAAAGTTTTTCCTTGACTAATGGGGAAAAAGATAGCGAAACGAAAAGCTAAAGAACACTACACCAACAATGATGATGTTATCCAAGCATCGTTATAAAAACAAATAACGACAATATCAAAAAATGAAATTGGAACACGATAAAAGGAAGGGGAGGGCTTTGCAAACATATGCAAGAGATATTCAATTCGATTGAGAGAATATGATATATTGATGAATGACACATCGGAGATGAGTGGATGCTCTTACGTGCGAGAGAACCTCTATGCTATACAATTCTAACTTCTCCAAAAAGGAAAATGTATATATACTAGTGCAAATACACATCCATTTTCCAATGTGGGCAAATGAGCAATTTATATTGTGGACCCCGATCCAATACACATAACTTGACTTCATAATGTACATAATTCATGTTCATAATGTACAAAATTTATGTTCATAATACACATACACATAAACACGATGTAATGAAGACACACAAACACTTAACATAATACACATAATTTGACTTCATAATGCGCATAATTCATGTTCATTATATCATGTTTATGCGTATATGTATTATGAACATAAATTATGTGAATTATGAATATGAATTCTATACATTATGAAGTCAAATTATTGTATTAGACCAGGGTCCGCAGTGCACTATGGACCCTGATTCACGATATAACAATTGAGGCAAAGGTTTCTTACAAGCATTTCCATCCCCATTTTTCCAACTCAAATGAGTTCACTTTGAAAATCAATTTTTTATTTACTCATTATCAATTTTGAGCATACAATATATCAATTTCTTCATCACACTTAAGAGAGCCCTAATCTACTTTGACCCAATTTAAATTAGAAGTAAACCTCACAAATATTTGTATCACAAAATGACGACTAAGAATGTCAATTTTACTAATATTTTCAACATTTAATTGTTGAAAAGTTGTCAATGTCATCATTGGTTCTCGCAATAAGTAATTTTGATCAAAGTCTTTTAACTCTATTATTTTTAATTGTTACTTCTCATTATTTAAACGTTTCTGGTAGTTACTTCCTTGCAGTTAATATACTTATTTTTTGTTATTGTATTAATTATTTTTAGTTGTATTTAAAAAAATAAAAATAAAATTATTCCCTAAACCCTACCTATATTGGTTAGGGATGTTTTTTACAAAGTGTTTTAATAGGTGGTGACTACTATATATACATTGTGTGTAATATTATTATCACGTCATTACAAATTTTACTCGTGATATATAATACCCTTACCTCGTCCCACCAACCCAGCCAATTCTGTGTCTGTGATATCGGGATCCAAAGTATGTCGACCAACTATATATATAAATCAATAAAATTAGAAACTTGGATTAATAAAGTATGGACTATTGAGTCAGCTATTTTGAATAAGTTTGTTAGCGTAGTTAGAGTCTTAAGCTAGCTTTATCTTCTCCACCTATTGTGGTGGTTAGCTTACCTATATAAGCTTTGTACGTACATTCATCTTAATGTAATTTTGAATTCCAGAATATCTCTTCTCATTTGGTATCAGCCTAATTTTCGATCCCATGGCCAATCCTCCCACTGTCGAACCCAATCCCACCCCCGTCGACTCATCTGATCGGCAGACCCAAGCAGTTGCGCATTCTGACCGCCGTCCGGCCACTGTGCTACAACAAGCGCACCATTACGTGTCGTTAAAGCTGACTGCCACGAACTATTTGTTATGGAGAGCGCAGCTGGTCCC